ATATACTGCTTCGCAGTGCTTTACAGCACTCTCTAAGTGGTTTATAGCAAATTCCCTCCCCCCCCCAAAAAAAACAATCTGGGTCCCCATTTTACTGACCTCGGAAGGATGGAAGGCTGAGTCAACCTTGAGCCAGTGAGACTCGAACTGCCAAACTGCAGTCAGACGGCAGTCAGCAGAAGTAGCCTGCAGTACTGCATTCTAACCACTGTGCTACCACGGCTCTTGAATAATGGTCTATCTAGTTTTCAGGCATACATTATGATACCCCTTAGTATTTGTACAAATTATTTGTTCTTTACAGATTTAGATTTACAGATTTACAGAGTTGGAAGGGACCTTGTAGGTTATCTAATCCAACCCCCTGCCCAAGCAGGAGACCCTACACCATTTTTGACAAATGGCAGTCCAATCTCTTCTTGAAAGCCTCCAGTGGTGAGGCTCCCACAACTTCCAAGGCAACTTCTGTTCCATTGGGTGATTGTTCTCAATGTCAGAAAATTTCTCCTTCTTTCTAGGTTGAATCTCTCCTTGGTCAGTTTCCATCCATTCCTTGTCTGGCCTTCAGGTGCCTTAGAAAATAGGTTGACCCCTTCCTTTCTGTGGCAGTCCCTCAAATACTGGAACACTGCTATCATGTCTCCCCTGGTCCTTCTCTTCACTAGACTAGCCATGCCTAGTTCCTGCAACTGTTCTTCATATATTTTAGCCTCCAGTCCCCTAATCATCCTGGCTGTTCTTCTCTGCAATCTTTCTAGAGTGTCAACATCTTTTTTATAATGTGGTGACCAAAACTGGATGCAGTACTCTAGGTGTGGTCTTACCAAGCCACAACATTCACTTGCTCATGAAGCTCCACTTGTACAATTGGAGGGCACTTGAGAGGAGAGTGCTTGTGCTCACATGTGAAGCTCCACTTGCGCATGAGGAAGGCACTCACGATTGCATGCATAACTCCATTCACACTAATGGAGCTTCCTGCGTGAGTGCAAGCACCGTCTGCTCATGTGAGCAGAATTTCATGTGAGCAATCTTGACCATTTCTCCCGTGGCCCAGTTTCAAATAGGCCACAGCCCAGTAGTGGGCCGTGGGCTGCGGGGTGGGGACACTTGCTGCAAAAATATACTTGAATATAATGTGAGTCAGGAGAACAATAAAAGATTTAGACTAATGACCTAGATTCATGTTTGTGTTGTGGTCTGCTGGTAACCTGTGGACCTGGCAGCAGAGTCGGACAGTGAGGAGGTTGGGGAGGAACATGGGCCAGTCCTGGAGTCTAGGGAAAGCTCGGAAGAGGGCTCTGCGTCGGAGGCAGAGAGGGGGCCAGGGCCATCTGGGAGTTATGTGCTGCCTTCAGAGTCGGACATCAGCAAGGCAGAGGAACAGGGGGAGCTTGTTCCCAGTGTGTGCATGTGCAGGGCTGACAGAAGGCAAGAACAGTTAAGAGAAAAAGGATGACTCGTGAGTAAAGCTTGGAGGTGATTGGCCCCTCCCATAGGACATAAAGGAGGAGCAAATGCGCATGAGCCTGTGCAGGAAGCAACTTTTTTTGCTCTGGTCAGTTTGAAATCTGAAGCTCCTTTTTGACTCTTTGCTCCATGTGGCCTTGCAAGCTAATTGCCAATTAGGTCTTTGGCAGCATTTCAAGGGAGATAAAGGTGGGTGCTTATCAACCTTATCCCGAAAGACTTTGGCAGACTACTGTCGGACTCTTTACAAACTATTTGGGACTCATTACGGACTGTGAATGAACATAATTCATAGCCCTTGAAATAAAAAGAGGGTTTTGGGGACTAAGTGTCGGCTTTTTACTGCATCAGGAAGCCTAGGTCAGAACAGTTTCCACATGACAGATGGATGAAGTAAAACATAGAAAATGGACCAGCATTCAGTTTATTGAATGGATTTCAATAGTGATACCAAATTGCGAGTATTGAAGCAAAAGGTTTTTCAAATAGGAACTCCACAGATGTATTTGAGTTCCGCGTGTTATACAACAGATCTTTTTTCTTAACATATAGCAATAGCATTTAGTTTTATATACCACCCCACAGTGCTTTATGGCACTTTTTGGGTGGTTTGTAATGATATAGTGCTCAGCTTTGATTCCTTCAATATATCAGAATGTTGCTTATTTATTTTCTAGATATGGATGATTGTTTTCAGTGTCCAGAAGATCAATATGCAAATGTGAACCACGATTTGTGTCTTCCAAAGATTGCGGTGGCTCTTTGGCTTTGAAACAGAGATGAGCCCCCCCCCCCCCCAAGTCTAAAATGACTAGCACATATGTGCGAGGGGAATCTTTACCTTTACCTTTTATCGAGTATGAATATCCAACTTTTTGGACTGCCTGGGGCACAAGAAGAGAAATTATCTTGGATCGCATATGGAATATATATTATGGTTAATGTTTATAAATAACAAGCTTCCTTTATTTCTTATATTTTTATTATATCTGTGGGGCTGCATGCAGCCATGGGCAATGGGTTAAATATTCCTGCTATAGAGGATATACTCTACAGGATAGACACAGGAAAGAAATATCCCAATACATTATAAGAGAACAGGCAGAAATGCATTCAGAGATTCCAAGATCAGTCTGAAAATATGGAAGACAGACTTCCATATAGTTTCTTCCTTGAAAAGTGAGACAAATGCATATGTATTTG